TGTAAAGCACTTTGAATTGCCTTGTGTTGAAAAGTGCTATATAAATAAACTTGCCTTGCCTAATAAAGATTTCGTGTGACACATACAATTGATTTGTTGATGGGAATTAATGTGAATAAATTAACTCGGTCTTAAAAGGTTAACGTTACTCTTGCTATCACTACTCACCGACACTAAACCTTGTACCTCATGCTAGCCCTGACAACACCGGTAAGCACACCTTCATCTAGGCTGCACTGTTTTACGTGTCCTGACTTGTAGTGGTTCTCTCCTATCTACACTCTTCTTGTCATCTTTCTAAAACGATATGAGACTGGTAATTGACACAGCCATGACTTCTAGTTAAATTCAGTGTGGCTAAAATGAAAAGCTTTGTTAAAATATGTAAGCGAGCAAAAGTCAAAGTCAGCTTTATTGTCAAAATTCTACATGTGTTATACATCCAGAAATATCAAAAAGGGCCTAGATAAACATTGTATACATTAAACAAAACAAAAAGGGCCTAGATAACCGGGGTATACAGTTTAAAATGTTAATAATATATTTAAAGTGTTCAAAGTGCAGTTTCAGTGCAAGTCAGTTGAAACGATCTTAAGTTGGCGTGTCGTGAAGTCGTGCGACCCTGCTGCTGTACTAGTTTGAAGTTCGTTTATAGCATAACGTTAGCATTTTGCTTCTGGCGACCAGACTTATGATTCAAAAATTATGAAAGTAGGGTTGACATGTGGAGATTATCCGGCTGAACAAAATGTGATCCCTCTCTTAAATGTGTGTCAACCACAGACCTTATTTCGAGCTATTTTCCAAAATCCTATGGGAAAATTGCATTGGTTTTTGACGAAGGAACCGGAAGAAGTTTACTTCCGGGTTTTAAGACGCGTCACTGCGGTTCTCTATTTGGAGCAAGCCCCCAGGAAGTGCGCCGGACTCAGATGAAAATATTCGTGGTGGCCAAACGGCGGTACTACACTTCCGTTTGGTTGCCAGACCCGGAAACACTTTTTCCCATTGAATTACATGGGGAAAGAGTGGTCTGTAAATCGTTGGATAATTTTTTAAAAACTAAATAAACTACCCAGTATGAACACTTGTATAGCCCTTATTAAAAACATTTACCCATGGACATGATTTGGAGCAGGCTGGAGCAGGCGGGAGTTGAACTCTGACGTCACTGTCGAGCCGTTAGTGGCAGACTCCGCCTACTAAGGGCTTCTCGGCAACTCTGTAGAATCCTATGGGTGACGTCACGGACCCTACGTCCATTTATATATGCAATCTATGGGTCTACTATCCACTAAAGGCTTAAAAGTTTCTGTTGTCTTCAGAGAAAACACCCATAAATGATCATTAATTGTGTGTAAATCCCCTCCTCTGACTCAAAACAGCACTCATCTACGGCTGAATGTATTTAATGAGCTCTATACACTTTTAAACCTCTGACTGTAAACCCCTCCATTAGGGGAGCAGTGGACAGAATTATTTGCTGTGTCATTGGATGCAGCGCTTATTAACATTAACTTATTTGCCAAAGTTTTGATTTACATTTTACTTGTACATGTACATAAAAAAAAAAACGTTTGCAAAGGAATGCAAAGGTAGAACATGACATTGAAATGTTGGATGTGTATTGCAGAGGCCTTGCTTTATATAACTCACCCCACTTTCCTGCTCTATATATTATTATTATTATCCCACTGTGTCTTACTTCCTGGGTGATTTGTCAGCTTCCGAGGCTGATATGAAAATAATTTGCTATTACAGCGTAGGGAACACAGGACAGAATAAACAAATCGATTTAGGAACTGCTCTACAGTTTCAACCTTTCATGAGATTTCCAAACATGGTATTAAGACAGTTTTGCCCTGGGGTGCCATGGAGGAGAATCATTTGAATGATTTAAGGGGGCCCCAGAGCTGGAAAAATGCTGTGTAACAAATCAGAGGTTGTAGATATTTATTATGTCTGAGCTGTTGTTAAGCCGTTGTCAGAGGAGCAGAATTTGCAGCTTCGCCCCTGCTTTTTATTTTCATTTTTTAATAGACGGCAGAGAAGGCCACTTTTTATCTCTCTGTCCACCCATCTACTTGAAACATTATTTTCGTAACATCCCTGAGTTTAGTAATTAGTTGACTGTTGATTAAAAAAAGGGCTTTAGAGAGAAAGAAGGGATCCGGCAATTACCCAATGTATTAATCCCCTTCATTGGCTTCATTAGAATGCTGCACGCACCCTGGTCTCAAGTTTTACATTTAAATTTGACTCTCAGATTTTTACATTGCAATTTGCACTTTTAATTTGTGCCTCCCTTAACAGGACATAGCTGGTTTGGGCTTGAGTTAGTTTGTAAGTGGAGACATGCGTTCTGCCCTCCCATTTGTTTGTGAGTGTGGGGCCCAAGGTTTTACAAAGAATGAGACAAACAATTTGAATGCGGCATGTCAAAGCTCATTTTCCATATTCTCTACTTCCTCCATTCCAAGTACAGTAACGCTTTCCTAAGAAATGGCCCATCATGGAGGGGATAAAGGGCTGGAGCCAAATAAAGGGTGGTTAGATGGGAAATGAATGATGGGCGGTTTATTTGTTATTCCATGATTTAAAGATCCCCCCCACACATTTATTACATACTGTGCAAAACACTCTCACTGCGAGGAGCAATGCTTTTTGTTTGATGTTATTTTTTAAGTTCAATTATACTGTAAACCAAAGTAAATAAAAGTTCCTTTGCACACCAGGATAGATATTTTAAGGATCCTGGTGTAACTTAGTTTTTTTTTAATTCACTTGTTAATCACGCACAAACCAAAAATCATTCAATCATTTCACATTATTCACGTTGTAAATAAAAGAGGCTGTTCTTCCTTCTTTTTTCTTTGTCTTTTTCCAGAAGTGCCACGCTGTTATTAGGGATGGGATGACCGATTGGGATAAAAACACTCACTGATAAGTTGAATTGAATCAATTTCCATTAGGATAATCATGAATATTCCCACAAGTGACTTGGAAAAGCTGTCTAGCTTGCTTTAACCTGTTAAGGCCCTGACACACCAAGCAGTCACCAGAGAACTCGCTGACGCCGACACCGACTGTTGCGTAGGCGTGTTCTCCTGCGTCTTGGCCATGTGTCGCACTGGAACACACCGCAAAGACTTCAGCCGAGCACGTACGAACTGCGCATGCGTGAGCGGCAATAACTCTCCTTACCAGCAGGTGGCGGTAGTGTGTATTCGTCATTCAAAAGAGGCAACAACCGGAAGACAGAGAAGAAGAACAGACTACGTGATTTAAACAAACAACAAATAGTGTGTGCGTTCCATTTTCACTCTCGTCCATCGAAAACATGTTTTGTGCGGTACTGGAGCTATCAGCCATTGGAGTGTTGCTTGTGGAAGACATTCTCAAGCAACCGTTTTGCTTCTCATGCACTGATTCGCTAGCTGAACAGCCAATCAGAGTGATTTCTTTGTCCGACTGCCTGTGGCCGACGCCTGTTGCCGTTTCAACATGTTGAATCGGCCGTGCGTCGGCCATGAAAGGCCAAATAAGGCCACACCAAATTGAGTTTGGGCGACAGGGCACGCTTCGTCGTCCGACTAACGAAAACGGCCGATTTCGGCCTGGTGTGTCAGGGCCTTTAGACCCCAAGCCTGTTTTTCATGTCTCAGGCTCGAAAATTACATTTCCAGAACAAATGACCATATCTTCCCTTCTAAAAGGGTTAAATTAATAATATTTTTTCTCAAAGTAATGATAAACCTGTGAGTTGGATGTAGAAGAGTCAGAATCAATAGTTGTGGTTTTTTTTTAAAGAAAACTACCCTTGGATGATGGTAAGGTAGACTAAAAGCTTTAGGAATCCAAAGTACAACATGTAATAAGTACCCTGTATCAAGATTGATGCAAAACAAGTGACATTTGATAGAATAAAATAAATAAATAAAGATAATACAATAGAGGTAATGTCTTTTTAAATGGAACACTCACATGATGCTGCTATTTTATTCATTTAGTCATCATATTTATGAATAACTTAGAAATAGTTTTTCACTAAAAGGATGTTCACTAAAGAAATATGTTGTTTCCTATGTATGAAGCCATCCATGATGATTTTCTATTTCTTAGTGTTATTCACAGTATGTTTTAATGCCATCTCAAATCATCCATGTTTTTAAAAGTTTGTTTCTGCTTTGTCAAACCAATAAGAGTGGTTTAATGACCTTGTTACACCCCACCATTATGTGGCCCTATGGGGCTCTCAAAATTCCACCACTGAGCCAAATACAACGAAGAAAGACACCTTTTAAAAATGATGAATTACAATGAAACATGTAGGATATTTAGGATAATTATAGGATACGAGACAGAAACACAAGCCGTTTCTCAAAGTCGAGGACGCTTCCTTAGTAGGACGTCCTTCCGAGTCAGGCCCTTCAGAGGCAAGAATCCTTCCCAGCATTCGGAGAACGAAGAATGGAACAGGCTAGCTATTGTTCGTCATATGCAAGGCCCCGCCTTAAATTGAAACTCAACGTTCTCCTTCTGTTTGCAGCCTTGAAAAAAGTCCTGGAGGATAAGCAGCCAAAAGAAAATCATAAAATCACCATCACCAATCAATAATACAATTTATATTCATATATCATACTTGATGTCTGCAAACTTTTTTACACATATTGGTGCACATTGTAGCTCAAACCACACATATCAACAAAAAAGGCAAAGTCAAAACAAGGTTCATTTTAATTTAATTATTTATTTCGGTGCAAAACGTTCTAAGAAAGCAAAGAACCTTTTGGATCTTTCTCGGGCCTCTGCTGCTCTCCTCTCTTTTGCCTCTGATAGAGGATGACCTCCCTTAAGAGATTAAGGAAGGGATCCTCTCTCTCCCTCTTTTTCATTCCCGCGCCCCTTCCTCTCTGTCTCTCCGTGTCTTTTTCCTCCTCCTCGTCCTCTCGCCCTCTCTGACCTTCCTGGGCAGTGCTTGGCCCTGGATTGTCCTCTTGGATGGAGGCAATCAGGCAGGGGGAAGAGACCGCCGCAGACTGCCCTAATGCCTCATCCATTAGGACAAACCAGGGCCAAGTCGCTGCCGTCAGTTTCCCGTCCTCAGTGCCTTGTCCTGAGGTGGGACACTTGCATTCCTGAACAGTGATATTACATATACGCATTAATATATGAAAGAATAATACATATACTCATGTCTATATAACCTCTCCCACCTTGTACTTGGTTTTCAGATTTTCCCATTTTTTTTTGGGGTTGGGGCATGGGTTACCCTGCCTTCAACCCCCATGTTTGCCTAAATGTTCCTGGTGTTGGCTGTTCCCCTTTAGTTTGTGCTCACAAAAGCATATTACTCTGGGGCCAGCAGGTGAAAAACTAAAGAGGGGGTTCCAAATCCAGCAGCACCAACACCTTCTCTGCCGGATATGGAAGCCCTTCTTTTCTTTCGTTGTTCACCTGCTGGCCCTAGAGTAACTTGCTTTTGTGAGCACAACCTAAAGGGGAACAGACAACACCAGTGTGATTTTGGTGATGGTGTGACTGTCCTGGACAAAGTTGTAGGGGGGGTGCCATATCTGGCAGGAGAAATACCTGCTCTGCTGAATATGTTATATAGATCTTCCCTATTGACACCAGGATTAACCTAGTCTAAAATAAGGAACATTAATAGTGTGATATAGGCAAAGATATAAGATCAATAATACACTTTATTTTAGGCACCTTTCAAAACATTCAATGTCACCTTAAAATAAAAAATAAAATATGAGTGGCATTACAATACAAAGATGTGTGGAGTAGGAAACCAAAGAGGAAAATTACATTCAAAGGAGCAATTAAAGCGAGTGAAGCTAGTTTGAACAAATGATCTTTTAGGCTTGATTGAAAATAACACAGTGGGTGTTTCTTAATGTCGAGTAAAGATGCTCCAGAGCCACTATTTCAAGCATATACGTCATCGAGTGCCGCCAAAGTACTGTTCCAATGTCCAGCATACTTGGAATCCTACCGAGCCCGGTGTACTTAGTTTGGAGAAATTTAGAGGCTGCACATTTGTAGACTTCGCGGTCTTAAAATCCCCACAATGCTTTGCGCACGGACCAATTTCCCCAAATCTGTGGCGTAAAATGTAAGGCGGGGCCTCTCATTTGACACACACCTGCACACTTGCTCGCCTGTTCCACTCTTCCTTTTCCGAATTCCAGGAAGCATTCTTGCCTTGCTTCTGAAGCAAGATGCTCGGAAGACATGTGCTACCAAGCAAGCGTACTCGAGATTGAGAAACACCCCGTGAAATGACCAAGCCCCCAGGAAGTGCCGGACTCTTATATTCGTTGTGGCCAAACGTCGTTACTACACTTCCGTATGGGTTGCTGGGCCCGGAAACACTTTTTCCCATTGACTTACATTGGGAAAGAGTGGTCTGTAAATCATTGGATAATTTTT